TTTAGTTGTCCAATTAATTTCTTTCTATTTTTAGTAGAGACGGGGTCTCGCTCTTGCTCAGGCTGGTTTCGAACTCCTGAGCTCAAACACTCCGCTCGCCTCGGCCTCCCAGAGAGCTACGATTACAGGTGTGAGCCACCGTGCCCGGCCCTAATTTTTCTTTTTTCTTTTTGAAACAGGTTCTTGCTCTGTTGCCCAAGCTGGAGTAAAGTGTCGTGATCATAGCTCACTGCAGCCTTGAACTCCTAGGCTCAAGTGGTGCCGAGTCACCTCAGCCTCCCCAGTAGCTGAGACTACAGGAACGGGCCACTATGCCTGGCTAATTTTTCTTATTTTTTTGTAGAGATAAGGTCTTATTACCATGTTGCCCAGGCTGGTCTCAAACTCTTGGCTTCAAGCAGTCATCCTACCTTGGCCTCCCAAAGTGCTGGGATTACAAACATGATCCACCGCACCAGGCCTTAAATTTATTTTTTATTTTTTTAGAGACAGGGTCTCGCTATGTTGCCTAGGCTGGAGTGCAGTGGCTGTTCTCAGGCTCGATCGTAGCACACTACAGCCCCAGGCTGCTGGGTTCAAGTGATCCTCCCACCTCAGCCTCCCAAGTCCTGGGACTACCTGGTTCTATGACTGTTCATAATGGTGATTAGAGAAATATCATTTCTTTGATGTCTGGGTAATGGTTACAAATGTATCCTCTACAAGGGAAGGATGTTGTGGATATATTCACTGCCTGACATGTAACAGATGTGCCACATTTACTGAAAGAGTGAACGGAATGCCCTCAAGTTCATTGAGCCGCACTGGTCCCTGAGTTCTCACAGATAATCATCCCAGGCCCAAGGAAACCACGGTTGCAGAGGTGGGGCAAATGGTCTTGGCACACACCAGGTACTAGCCAATATGGTGCTTTTGTGCAAACTGGAACAAGGCTCCCCTTCTGGATGGACTAATTAGAAAAAAGTGAGCCCTCTGGGTGGAAACAGACCCGAGGACATTTGGCTTGGTGAGTAGATTGTGGGTCTGTTTAAGCCCACTTGCCTTCCTGACCAGGTGCCTTTGTGTAGTGAACAACCTACACAACCATTTGGGGCAAACCCATTATCTACTCTAAAGCTATTCCCCCATCTTCCTTGGTAAAACTCCAGCTTTCTGCAAGTTGCCATGTCCTTTAGAGGTGGCTGGTCAACTCCCCAGCTGCAGGACCTGAGGCTAAGGCAGTCCCAGTGGTCTCATTTGCCTTGCTTCCTAATGGGCCACATGGGCATGTGACCATTCCTGTCAATGAGATATGGGGGGAAGTTGATGAAGGGCTTAGGAAGGTTTCCCTCATTCTTCAAAAGGGACCTAAGAATGAGCCTCTTTTTGCTGCCTCTGCAAGGGGTTATCTGGATGTGATAGCTGGATGTGTAGCAGCCTTTTGGGGACCATGAGGCAACTGGGCTAAGAGGAGATGAAGGCATAGCATGAAGATGGATGGAGCTAGTGTCACTCATGACTTTGTTGGTCTGCTAAATTAACTAACCCTGGGGCTGGGCCATCTCTGGTCTTGTGTGAGACACACGAATATGGTTTTTGAATCAGTCAGTTGGGATGTGTGTTACTTGCAGCCCAAAGCATCTTCATGCAAGAGCTTATACATTCGGTACATGTAACAAAGTCCTTCTCATGCCTTGGAACTGATCTTGGGGGAGTCAGAAAAGGAGAAGGGGTTGCCAAGGACAGGCTAGCATTAGTGCTTGAGTAAGGGGGACAGGTCTGCGGGGATCCCCACCCACTCCGGAAGGAAGGCTGCCTCTGGCTTAAAGACTTTGAGGAAGGGAGAGTCTGGGAGAGTGTAATTGGCCAGGTAGATGGCCTCTCCTCCAGCGAGGTAGGCGGCCCAGATCCCAAACGTGCCAATGGTCATGATGGTGTGGTTACACTGCGTCAGCAGCGCGAAGTCCTTGCCAGGTGAGCCCTCAATGCCATTGCCAGCAAACACCACATCGCCATGGGAGGCGTTGATGTTCTCCCGGCACCAGGCCATGCCGTTGCTGGTGACCACGAAGACTGGGGAGCTGTAGCGCGCCCGGAACCAGTCCATGGCCTGCTCTAGGTATCGCCGGTCGGCTACCACACCCTTCCACACCTGCGGCATGACATGGACGTAGTCCCCTCGGCGCACGTGGACCCCCACGAAGGTGCTCGGCCAGCTCCCGTTCACCCGCAGACCCCGCAAAAACGTCTGGGCCTCCTCGCGCACGTGGTCGTGCAGGGTGAACTCCTGCAGGATCTCGTGGCGCAGGTGGTGGTAGAAGGTCCAGGAGGAGGGGTAGCCCGTGAGGCGCACGTACTTGCCCGGGATGTGGCGGTACCGCTCCTCCATCCAGTCGTTCAGGTGGTAGTTCTGCCAGTAGATCTGGCTCTCCGTGGCGCTGTGCAGCACCGGGAGGCTGATTCTGAAGATGGGGGCCAGGGTGCTGTGCATCTGGGGCGGGATGAAGGCGGGCCGCCCGTTCATCTTGGCCAGGGCGTACAGCGTGGCGTACTCGCCCATCTGGTTCCCCAGGCGGCCTATGGCGTTGATGGTCCAGATGCCCCCCCGCGCCTGCGTGGGCGCTGGCCTCGGCGCCGGCGTCTGTGACTCCCACGAGGGAGGCTGCATCTTCGCCAGCCGCTGCTGAAGGTGAAATACGGTGGAAGCCGTGAAGACAAAGAGGAAGACATGGGCCGTGGGAAAGAAGAAAGGCCCCTGAGTGCTGATCATGGCTGCTGGGGAGGGAAAGCAGGACGCGTTAGCTGGGAGACGGAGGCCGGGGCGGCGTGGCCATGCTGTGTGTGCATGCAGGCGTCGTGTGGGCGTACGTGGGCGTGGGTTTACTGTGTGTGTGTAAATACTTGGTACGTACTTGCATATGTCTATGCAGGTCTGTCTCTAGTGTGTGTGTTTATGCAGGTGTGACTACACTGTGTTCATACGTGGGTGTGTCTACACAGGTGGCTATGTATGCACTATGTATGCACTGTGTGTGGACATCTATACATTTTGTACATATATGGGTATGTGCAAAATTGTGTGCATACAAGTGGACGTATGTACATTGTGTATGGGTGTGTATATATTGTGTACATACAAGGGTGTGTATACATATTAATAGCATATAAGTGGTTGTGAACATGGCATGTATGTACATGTGTGTACATACAGGAGTGTGTATACTGAGTATATGTACTCAGTATTTCCTGGGGATCCAGTTTCTAGAGCTGTTCATCTCTTGCATGCCCTGCCTATATCCCCTTTGGAGGGAAATTACCCTGGACATCAAGGACTCAATCACCTGACCTGTCTCCCCTCTTGGCCATAGCTGACTGAGCTTGAGACGGACACTCAGCTCCACGCTGACCTGTCCATTCATTGGCCATGGCCTTTGACAAGTGTAGGTTGGCTCTAAGAGATGAGTTGTGCCAATCAAGTTCTTTCGGGTATCTTTACTACAAGACCCTGAAGGCGGATGGCAGGTGATATTGAAAAACAGAATAGGGGCCAGGCGCAGTGGCTCACACCTGTAATCCTAGCACCTTGGGGGGCCAAGGAGGGAGGACCACTTGAGGCCAGGAGTTCAAGAGCAGCCTGAGCACGAGTGAGACCCCGTCTTTATGAAAAAATACAAAAATTAGCCAGATGGGGTGGCTGCGCACCTGTAGTCCCAGCTGCTTGGGAGGCTAAGGCAGGAAGATTGCTTGAGCCCAGGAGTTTGAGGTGGCAGTGAGCTATGATGATGCCCCTGCAGTGTAGCCCAGGTGACAGAGCAAGACCCTGTCTCAAAAAACAAAAACAAAAGAAAGAAGGAAAGAAAGGAAGGAAGGAAGGAAGGAAGAATAGGGGTTAGAGCAGCTAAGATGGGTAAGATGCAGGCTGAAGGTGGGAACCAGTAACCCCTGGTAACCAGAACATACCTAAACCGATGTGCAAAGAGACTCAAGAAAACTTCAGTCCTGGCCAAGAAATCCCAAAAAATCACCCTATATTTGAGCACAAATACAACCTATTCTTTTCAACTCTAGTTACAACAGAAATTAGCTCCAGGAGTGGGGCGGTCGCATAGAACAGACCTTCAGAGAATGTGTGGAATTCACTATGGTATCACCGGAAGTGGAGGGCAATGAGCGTTCCCCATCCAGGACAGAAAACTTGAGCCAGTGGTTTGTAGAGTGAAACAGTTAATGAAGCTGTTGCCTGGGATACCCTGGGACCAATCAAAGGCTCCCCAAAGGATGCGACTTTGACGATGGGGTTGCCGAGCAGAAGCAGAGCAGCTGTAGGTAATGTTAAGCAGGAAATAAATCAGCTCTGACTTCGCGTCATCTGGTTAGAAGCCAGTAAGTAAAAGCAGAGCAGTTATTACTTAGCGTTGTTGCGGTTCACACTTTATTATTGCTGAAGTTTATCTAATGTCTAAAAGTGACTATGGGCCTTGTCATCCTGCAGGCTGGGCTGGACCCACACCTGTGGCGTGTGGCCACTGATTGACCAAGATCAGACTCTGGGTGATGGCGGATGGGGACATCTGGGAGCAGTCAAAGGGATGAGGGCTTCTACCTTCTGAGATCTTCCAAAGGACTTGCCACCTCCTCCCCAGTGACTGTGAGATTCTTTTTTAAACTCTTCCTCATGAGCGGGCTTCAATCGCAGCATATCCTGGAGGCTCTACACAAAGGTAGATTAGAGACAAAAGGCTTCCAGCTGATTCGGTCTAGGGCCTATGTTCCTGGTCACAGCATTGGCGGAAGTTTCCAGGATGAGAACACTGGGGCTAAGTCAATCTGGGTGTGACCTGGTTGAACCTGGGAAGCTGCCAGAGGTATGCATGTGTGGGCCTCGAAGCTAATTATGGCAGGGAAAAATTGGCATAGGACCCAACGTTGCAATATCCTGCTTGTGATTTATAAGTTGCTGAAACCGCGGGTGGAGAGGCGCTCTGTGGGGACTGGGGAGAGGAGGAGGGTCTCCCGGGGCAGAGGGAGGGAGAGCTGTCTCACCCGGCTCGTTCTCTGTGGAGCGGCCTCGTGTTTTCTTCCCACCTCTTCTGGGTGTTTCTCTCTTCCTTTCTCCAGCTAGATTTTGAGCACTTCAAGGGCAAGGAGGAAACTTGCCTCTTCCATCTGCGGGATGGCTAAGGAAGTGCTTGTGGGAAGGTGGAGGGATGGAGGGAAGGGAGGGAGGGAGAAAGGAAGCGATGAGGTTCACGACACGCTGCTCCAAAATAGGTCACCTTGGCATTTGAGAAAACAGCAGAAGCGGGAAGGTCTCCCTGACCTTCTCCAGCCGTTCTCTGCGGAAGCAGGTCATAGTATCGTCAACCCAGAGGTGCCCTTCCTGTCCCCGGAGGAAAGGAGTATCTTTAGCTCTGAAGACACAGGGACACAGAGAGGAGTCTGAACAAATAGGCCTTGCTACATTCTCCCCGGTTTATTACCGTTAGATCATACTCCCTTTGTGCAAGTGTATTTCTGCACCCTGTCCACGCCCCATCAAACCTAAGCATAAAAATGCATAGGTTTCCCTGTCTCTTTGTGTCTTCATTTCTTTTTTATTTGTTTTTTGAGACAGGGTCTCACTCTGTCACCCAGTCTGGAATACAGTGGCACATCATAGCTCACTGCGACCTCAAACTCCTGGGCTTAATCAATCCTCCTGCCTCAGCCTCCTGAGTAGCTGAGACTCCAGGGTCCTGCCACCACGCCCAGCTAATTTTTTAAAAAAATTTTTTGGAGATATGGGGTCTCACTATGTTGCCCAGCCTGGTCTCAAACTCCTGGCTTTAAGCGACCCTCCTGCTTCGGCCTCCTGAAGTGTTGAGATTACAGGCGTGAGCACCTGGCCACAGTCTTCGTTTCTAAAGGCTCCCATGTCATTTAACACTTTTATTAGATAAATTTGTTATGCTTTTATCTTATTAATCTGTCTTTCATTATAGGTGCCTCAGCCATGAACCTTGCGCCGGGTGAGGAAAAGATGCTACTTTTTCTCCTTTAGAGAAGGAAAGAAGTGAGGGAGGGAGGCGGCAGAGAGAGAAAAGAGGGAAAGAGAGGAAATGGAGAAAAAGACAAGGAGAGAGAGAAAGAAACAGAGGCAGGAACAGAAAGACCAGAGGAGGGACAGAGAAAGTGAAAAGGGGTGAGGGAAGAAAGGCAGCAGGCGGGGTGGACGCGTCTCCACTGGGTCCCGTCTCTGCCCCTGCTCTGTCCCCACCCTTTCCTGCTTCCGGGTCTCTCTCCAGGCCAGTCTCTTTCGGGCCTGGGCCTCAGGCTCTTCGTTACGCACACCCCTCTGTGAAGGAAGGGACAGTGTCCCTCTCATTCCCGTGTATCCGCCACTGCCAAACACCGGAAGCTGGGCTGGGCGCAGCGGGTGCTCAGGGGACACTGCAGAAGGCAGGCGGGTCACCCGCTGTGCCCAGAACCCTCTCTGCGTGCCCCCTTGCCAGCGTCTCCCTGTGTCCTGTGTCTCCTTCCCCCACGTCCCTGTCTTATGTGACTGGTCTCCGTTTCTGGGCACCAAGTAGGTGAAAAAAAAAAGACATAGTGGAAGAACAGACGTTCACCATCAAACCTTCTGATCTCTGGGGCCCTGAGCTGAGAACATCGCATCCCCTCTGAATGTGCCTACAGCAAACGGAAAGCCGGTAAGCCTAGCCTGGTTAGGGTAAAAGGTGGAAGGGGCGGCTTTGCAAAAATAACAGGAAAATCCCTAATCCCACAATTTCCCAGTAACGGTGAGAGATCCATCCTATGAGTTCTCTCACTCTCAGGCCCCCTGCAGGAGGTCTGCTCTGCACGACTTCTGACAAAGCTGAATGGACCGAAAAGAGATGTAAATCTCTCTCTTTCAATTTTTTTTTTTTCGGTTTTCGTTATCTACCTGCTGCCGCTTTTGTTACCAAGTGACAGCTCTTCGTTCTGTTGAAATCAGGCAGCCACTTGGCCATCTCCTTGCTCTTTCCCCCCTTCTTCCTTTCTCTCTTTCTCTTTCTCCCTCTTTCTTTCCCTCTCTCTCCTCTAAGAAGATAAAATAAACGTTGAACCTTCATATCTTAATTTCTGCATGGGAAATCTTTCTCCACTCGAGCCATGAGCACCAGCTAGCCTTTCCACCCTAACGAAAAGACAGGCAGAATATCTAGAACGTCTCTGCCTCCTTGGTTGTCCCCTCCCTCCTCACCCAGGAAGGCTGAGTGGCCAGAGCAGGAAGCTCCTCGCTGACCTTGAGCAAGCTCGCAGAGAGCAGGAAGGGCAGGAGCCTCCCACAGCTAGATCCCGGGTCTTGGAGGGGGAGCTGCGCTGAGACCGCAAATCACTTAGGTTTGGAGAGAAGCCCTGTGGGGTGTAATCATGAGCCTCTGTTTAGCTGTGTGACCTTGACCCAGGGACTTTACCTCCCTGCGCTTCAGTGTTCTTGTCTGTCCAGAAACCGGGGGTAAAAATCCCTCCAGGGCAATGTGAGCCCGGCTGACCGCTGGAACCCCACCAGCCCCACGGAGGGCATTCTCTTATGGACTTTTAACAACTCTGCAAGTAGGTGACATCCTGCCCATTTTACAGCAAGGAAACCAGCTCAGAGACTGGCCCAGGGCCGCGGCTGAGAGAGGACCCCCAGGGGTGTGGTGGAGCTGGGGAGGGTGCTCAGATGGCAGCCGGAGACAGCAAAAGCCACTCGCCCGAAGCCGTGGGGAATCTTGGGAGATGCCAGTAGCAGAAGCAGACATC